TTGACCCCGACACCGATATTCAACGTTCACGTTCAGGCTCCACATCTTCACGTCTATTTCTAGACAGCGCTTCAGCTTTGACCTGACCTTCAAATACTCTGTTGATGCACGTCTGCTTCCTGACCGACCCTCACTACCTAAAGATTATGGGCGACCTCTCAAACGATCATTTCACGAGGGCCTCTCTTCCAAGAGATCCCTTGTCCCTTATCCTTGGTGCGTGACGATCCTTCATCGTGTAGCCTTAAGCCTCACGGAGCGACTTTCTCTCTCAGACGTGGTGAGTTTTGTCCGTCAGAACGTGCGTTGTATACTGACCAGTACGGGCGCGACAGACCCAGGGAGTATTGCTCCGACGTTATGGAAGTTGACCCTGCTCGCTTTGGTGATCGCGTATCGTCGGCAGGACGCCGTCGTTTACCACCTCCGTTTAATCACGATAGGCCTTGGAGCCTGGTAGGGGACGTTCCACCACCGGGCTACGGAGGAACGCGAATGTCGAGTATGTGGCGGTTTCTCCGCGTCGTCTTCTCCTCCGCCTGCCCGTCCGTTTGGCACTCGTCCTCTGAGTGCACATCTTTCCGACGGATACCCTTCCGACAACCGGAATTCTGATCACTCTGAACGTACTGGCTATCCACCGGTTGATGCGAACCCGCCACGTCGTACCGGCGCACCCATCGAGTACCTCAGGCCACCACTGAAGCGAGCTAGGGACGATGCGTACGGCCCTTTATGATATCCTTCCCCTCCACTGAATGCCAGGCTCGACTACCCGCCACAACCGCGACTGCGTATACTGCCGCCAGGATCTCAGGCGCGTACCATCAGAATGTGGGAGTCTATCCCTCACTACGACTGTGGCTGCCTGAAAGTGAGTTTGGCTGATGCCTTGCAGTCCTGGCGCTTGCTGACTGACTTAACTGCAGTGAACGGTTATTGAGAGAGCTTGACGAACTACGACGCATGATGTATTTTTGTTATTGAATATTGCATGCCTGTGCGTATGTGCTATCCGACCAATATCTAGCCGGGTGTGTATGCTCTATGTGCTGCTGCATAATTTTTCGTTGGGATATCTTGAGTAGCGTCCTCCACTGTGCACTCGTGCGAGCTACTGGAGCGAAATGGACGACGGGCGTATGTGGCGCACGGGACCCTCCCCGAATACTAGCCTAATCGGAAGCGCCGAGAGGAGCAATGCCCGCACCCACGACGCTGCTGTGCGCAGGATATCAGGGCTGTAACTAAAGCTATGTTTCATTCTTCAGTCAATTCTCTTAATTGTGTAATCAATCATTCATCAAGACCACGGACAGAGATGATAAATTCCTCGCTCACCGCTATCACTTCACCGCGAAACTGGACGCAGTCCAGGGGCAGTTTGGTGTGTGTGTGTGTACGGTTTGGAGCATCTATTTTATCTGACTTACACCTCTATAACGTCTCTAGGTCCTGGATATGGTTCTCAGCTAACGCACATGTCGCTTATTCCGTCCATGTAGTAATGGACGGGACGTCCCCGAGGTATGTCAACTCAAGAATGCTGCACATTTGAACCATTTCCACCATCGCAAGCGCAAGCGCGGGAGAAGAGTACACCGATGCACAGTTGTATGCAGACCGTGATGTTGGAAGGTATGCGTAATATTCGATGTTCCCGAAAATCTGAATAATTTGATCCATTCTGCTGTTCAGATTATTTGCCAGTGTACGATGCTTTAGTTCATGACTACCGTGAAAGGCCATATTCTAAGGTCGTGGGAAAGTCATCTAGTTCACCCGTCCTCGTACCCTCGCACCGGGTGAGTTCGTTCCACACCGGCTGTTTCGTGTGCTGGCTGAGGTGTGTCGATATGAGTTGCGCAACCAGACTCAGATGAACGTCCCCGCAGCTACAAGGTACCCGTCATTCTTCGGGTACTGCAAGAGCATTAATAGCTAGATTAGTTCTTCAGGCGAGCGCACTCGCGAATCTATGCAAGTCTAAAACTGATACAATCTTCGAAGGATCTCCGATGAGGATGCTTAAGCGTAGCAGTCTGGCCTCCCGTGATCTCGATCTCTGTATGGCGTGTTGGCTATGTTGAGCGGTACACTCAATGATTAGTGACCAGCCTTCTGGCGGCCTGCTGCCAGAAAAATACACCCACTGGAAGTAGTGCGTGTGAGGCTGTCTACATAGAAGTCTGATCTGAATACAAATATCCATGACCTGTCGGTTGTGTCGCAAGTAATCTCCAGGTCGATCCCTCGAAAGGCTAGTGAGCACGGTCACAAAGCAAGCACATCTCGTTTACGCAGACAGCGTCAATATGTCTACACCCGGCATGTGGCGGACAGGCGGCTTCGTCGTGGGCACCGCCTGCCTATAGCTGCCTATCGCCTCTTGGTCCTGCCGTCCTGGTATCTGGGCGCCTGGTCAGTGAAGTCCTCTTGCAGCGCTCGCTTTGACTCTCTCTCCTCTTTCCCTCGCCAAATTGCATATTCGACAATCATTGTTCATCCCGATCATGTCTACCCCGAACACACAGTCTGAGCTCGGAGGCCAAGGTCCCTCAGCCAGCTCCTCGCGCTTCCAAGAACTCTGGGACGAGGCCTTTCTGGAATACAAGAAAGTCACGGGCTCGGACCTCCTTCGCTCACCGCTCTACAACCAAATCCAAAAGGCCGAATCCTCAGGGAAGGTTGCTCGCATTCTTAAGGAACACAAGAGTAACTTTAAAGCTTTCCGCGCGCACGGCGAGAAGATCAGAGCCATTATTGCGCCGATCTTTACTCTCACCAAGCTGTTCACCGACACTGGTCGCGAGATAGCCGCGGCCTCCGTGAGTGCTCTTTAGATGCTAAATTTTCTTATCTCATCTACGAGCAGAGCGTAGTACCCGGCGGCCAGGCGATCTTCGCGGCCTTCGGGGTCTTTCTAGAGGTACGTCTGCCAATTGCATCTCAGCCCTGTCATTTTCTCCCTTCGCTCACAGTCCCCAAGGCATTCGATAAGGTTAGCGAGCAATACGATGCGCTCGAGGAGCTTCTCTCGAGGCTTGGAGGCGTCCTTGGTCGCCTTGACAATCACCTGCAAGCATGTTCGGCGCTCAACGACCAGCTTGAAGGCGTCTTCGTCCGCGCACTTGTCCAGCTGCTCAACGTGTTCGCCATCTGCACGAAATATATAAAGAAGCAATTGTCAGAACGCACGGCCCGGGCTGTTCTCACGCGCATGAGTAAGAATTATTTGTGTTCGGGCGCGTCGAGTCGTTTCTGATCACCGAAGCAGAGGACTACGGCAGGGCCCTCCTTGGTAATAAGGATGTGAAAGATGCTCTTGAGAAGCTAGACGAGCTGACCAAGGAGGAGCTTCTGGCTACTACAGCCCAGACTCTTGATGTAGTGCAAGGTGTAGCTAGCGAGATCAAGCTGGTCAGCGGAGATATTAGGGAAATAAAGGACAATGTCAGCGACCTGCGAGGCATTGGAGCCAAAGTTCTGGATCTATATTGTGAGGACGGCTTCTCCGGAATATCTGTTCTAGTGGCTTAACTAGACCTGCAGTTGAGAAGGACATTCGCGATTGGTTAGCTCCTCCTGACCCAAGTCAGAACCACGAAGAGCGACGAACTTCATATTTGGACGGCACATGCACATGGTTCTTTGATCACAAATTCAAAGAGTGGAAGGACAGCAGCAATGGTGTGTACTGGATTTATGGAAACCGTGAGTTTTCTCTTGTCAGCTGTGGGTGTATATATAATAATTCTGTGTTATAGCTGGAGCAGGAAAGAGTGTTCTTTGGTGTGTATACCTTGGCTAACATCCTGTCAGTGCTGACAGTAGACAATCATAGCTCATCTGTCGTTGAGCACATCTCATCCATCCCTGGCCTGCATGTGGCCTACTTCTACTTTGACTATCGTCGTGCTGAGATGCAGACTGTGACTGGCCTATTGGCATCTCTGATCTACCAACTTGCCATTTGTGCAGAACACCGCCACCAAGTTCTGGAGCAATTCTATGTGGAGAATAGGTCAAAGCTAAAGCCAACCAGAGAGCTTCTCCTTAGCTGCCTAGAACAGATCCTCCAGGCTTCCACTGGGACAGTTATCATCATTGATGCTCTCGATGAGTGTCCACACACTACCCGACGAGATGAACTGTTTTTCTCCCTCCAGAAACTTGTATCAAGAACATCAGGGGGCTACGTATTCTCCTGACAAGTCGGCCTGAGCCTGATAT